TGGCGCAGGGATGGGACTGCTTTAGACCCCCGTGTGATAACGTCCTTATTAGTGTTCTCACAATATTGTTTTTCACATTGAAAGCAAAAGCATGTCTCTAGCATAGGTCTGAGTGTGGGACGATTCTGGAGACCAGGGTTCGATTCCCTGCTCTGTCATGAAACCTACTGGGTGACCTTGGGCAAGTCACACACTCTCATCCTAAGGGGAAAGCAATGGCAAATCTCCTCTGAACATATTTTGCAAAGAAAACCCCAGGATAGGGTTGCCTTAAGATCGCCATAAGTCGGAAATAACTTGAAGGGACACAATAACAACAACTGATGATACTGCAAATCATTAATTAATTTGTTTACCTGCAAAAGACTTTCGGTTGGATCTAGAGAAATTTAGGAGGAATTGGGCCCCATTAAGTGCATTGATTTGAGTCCTACTGATTTCCATGAGAACAACTTGAACTGTACACTTCCTTGAACTACAGCACAATAGCTGTTTAGTACAGAATTCTAAATTCCTGATCAACTACAAATCCCAGAATCCCATCAGATGAAGCCATGACAGTGAAAGTGGTATCAAACTGCTATACTTGTGCAATGTATATTGCATTATACTTTAGATCTCATTCTTTTTATTCTGGGGTGTGTAACCTGGAACCTTGCAGAACTATCTGTCCCTCTAGCTTTGACTGGGTGACCTACAACCCCATTCTACATTTGTCTACATACAAGTCCCATTGTCCTCAGTAGGGTTTATTCCCAATCCAAGTAAATGGGTATTGTATGGGATTGCATCTGTAGAGGTTTGTAGTAGTTGTTGTTTTTAATTACCCACTTCTTGCAGACTCAAGTCAGTTTGCCAAAGCCAAAAATGTAAAGTCAGCTGATAAGATTAAAAACACAGGAAGATTCTATAACTAGAAACCTTTGTTTTATGGAAGACAGATATTGTACATTAAGAGCTAAAAATTAACAGCTACAATTCATTCAACAGGATGATTATCCTTGTGGGAAGCATATAAGTGTTTTAAGTATTATTTTATAGAAATTGTACCTGTAGGTCTAAAACAAACTGTTAATCCCAACTACAGTAAACCAATTAAATTAATAATCTTTACAAAAGTATTGACTAACAATTCAGAACTAATTGAGTGGGCCTAATCTAGTTAGGACAAGCAAATGGATTTAGGTCGTACTAGAATTTAGGGCATGTTGCTATCCAGTCCAACCAATGCCTACCTCTTCACCCTTCATCCAGGTGGCCACAGGAGGTGGTTCTCCAGTGATGGAAACATCCAAGCGTAGCTTGTTCCCAGCAACTACCACAATGGTGTTTTCATTTGTTTTCCCTGATCCACAGTCCAAGTGGATTTTGGGAGGCTCTAGAGAAATCAGAAATGACTATGAGATAACATGGGAAGCATGTCCTCCCCACATGGTAGTGCATCTGCTTAAAACTCATGGCAGGGCAAATGTCTCCATAGCCAGTGAATAAGAACTGCAGTTAGAGGCCACCTCATCACGGGTTTTTCTATTCTATTTTCTTTGGCACTTTTACTCAGAGCTTGGAAAAATTTCTTTTTTTTTTTGGACTACAAATGGCTATGTTGTCCAGGGTGGTGGTGTTTCTAGGACTTTGTAGTGTGAAAATAACTTTCCCAAGCTCTGCTTTTTTTGGATGATTTACAATTTCATCTATTCTCTTGGCAAACCTCTGATAGGAAAGAAAACTATTATGGATCAGATCAAAAGCCTATCCAACCCATGTAAACATGGGAAAACATGAAAACATGGCAGACGTTTAAATTTTATGTAATAAAATTGGTTATAACTCTGGGGGGAAAAAGCCTATCCAGCCCTGTTTCACACAGTGACCACATAGATGCCACATGGGGAATCCTACAAGCAGCACATGAGGGTAACCACTGTATCCATTGGGGTATCCATTGGCAGCCTCATCTGTGAATTTGTCTAATTCTCCTTTGAAGACATTCAGGGTGACGTCCATCATGAATTCCATAGTTTAACTGTGTGCTGTATGAAGAAGTAACTCTTTTTGTCTGTTCCAAATCTCCCATCATACATCTGGAGAGGATCCTATATTTTCATTTTGCAGACCCATATTGTACAGCACACATCAATTTACCTAAGTTTCCTTACCTTCCCCCAAGGAAAGCAAGATCTACTCACCTTGTTTGGGGACATATTCAATCTTGATTTCTAGAAGAGATGACACAGAGGAAAAAAAGAAAAAATAGCAGTGAACATCTCAGGGTATTTATTGCTCAAAATTACAATATTTGATTCCTCCCATCAGTGCTGCTATATAATTATATTGTAGTGACATTCACTAAGTTTAGTGTCCCTGTGAGAAATAAGAACAACAGAAGCTTCCTTACAATCAAAGGCAGAGCCATCAGAAGTTATGCCTCCAGGCATGCCATGCAGGGAAGAATGTCTCTTCTGTAACTAGTATGA